CTTTTTTTCACGACTCACATGAACAACCCTCATATCCGTAGCAAACCTCCACAGTCCACAACCCAATAAATCGAGTGCCCTCCAGGCATAAATTCTCAACTTAGTGATACTACTACAATCTTCACACTTGGTTTAAATCTTCAATCGATCAAGTGACTACACGTCACACTTATACAATCTTCCCGCGAGGTACTCTCCCATGACCTTCCGCACTAGATAACAAATCTGCACATCCATACCACCGGTCATACTAATGTTGTCAAGCATATCAAGAATCCATAACCAAGATGCAAAGCCTCCAACAAAAAATGCCGATCTTAGATGACGCTGAAGACAATACCATCTTACTCCAAACATCCAAATCCCCTTCCTGCTCATCTGAGCTCGTGACATCCTCGTCAAACACCAAACCGCAACCTTGATCCTTACTTTTAAATTTCTTACCGCTCACTGCACCTAACATTCCAATATGCGATAGCACCAGAATTTCATCATAACTCCTGAACCACTAATAGGGTAAACACTTCATCACCTAAAAACTTTTTACTTAGCTCATTCCAAGAGAACCATAGCAACACACGAATGAATTCTCATAACTATGGAACATTCAAATCCTCAAGTAGTGGTCTAAACCACCATAACCCTTCTGGCATCTGCCTACACCCAACAGACCATAATACTTGAATACTTCCAAATACAATCCACAATAGTAGTCGTCTAGCCTCGCACGTACCTCCACCACTATGCCAATTCAAGCATGGCTAACCAATGTAACTTCTTCTAATCTATCCTTAATTTACCTTAGAGAAAATATAGCTCCATTCCTTACTTCAAAAACCTAAATCCGCACTCACCTTGAGTGACCCCATTCCATGAGACCACATTGTCTCCAAAACTACGAATTGTTTCATACCCTCCTTGCATGCACATTCGCATCTTCAACTGGTACCACCGTTCTGATAATTCCTCTACGAATCCGAAGTCTTTATCCCTTTTTTTTCTCTCCCAATATTACAGTGCAAGTCGAAAACATCATAGAACATTCCGAGCCTATTATCATAATCTGCTACAAAAGCTCGATTCTTAACCATACCGCGGGCTTGAAACCTTAGGCACCGCATTTGAACCTTTGAATTCACTAGGACCGCTGTTGAGAGTCACTCACTCTGGATGGTCCCGAATATAATCAACTCCAAGTCTTCGCTGGCACATGAACACCCACCTCAATAAAGCACCCGACTGAATCACTTCCCTTGTAAATCACCTCTGTACGAAGCATAAATCCTGAATCTCCCCAAAGCCTGAACATGTAAGCCAACTATAGCACCCCTTTATCAGTTTCTTTTCTCAAATTACCACTTATGTTATTTTCCCTTAGCTGTAGTAATCCACCAATATGCTGATAACCGGAAACTTCACCAATAGATAACCATGCAACCCAAATCGTAGGCAGTGGGACTCTCCCACTTAGCTTGGAGCCACCCATTACATAACTCTGGAACTCACCAAGGTTCTTTCTTCATCGTCGACCTGATCTTGCATAATTAACTTTCCAAACTCCTCGAAATCCTTCTGTCTGACTTTCCATGAACTACCTGATTACTAACCATATCCACACGTTCGACCTCTTACTGGATAACCAGTAAAATCCTTTGCAGAAGCTTCGCTAACCACGCGACCACTGACATGCTCACAGGAGATAACCCACCTGTGGAAATTACATGCCGACATCTTCCAACGTCGCTGCACGAGGTACAATTACTATGATATCAATAACCCATCCTGAGCCCGTGCTCATTCGCCAACTGCACTAGTCCATTCTCTTTTATGGATATCAACTAATACATGACAATATTTTCCAATTCAAAGCTATGTTGCATCCTTCCTCATATCAAGCAACTCATTTCTGTTGCATTCATATCCCGCCGTATAATGGCCAATAATTAAAATCAAGCCTGTAGACCCAATCATGCTCTGATACCATGTTGGCATGACCTAAAATCCATTAAGGGTCATGATGGCGCCGGACACCACTGTCAGGCAAGCCAACACCAAATAACTAGAAATTTCTCGTTTTAATATTTTTGAAATCATTTCTTTTATACATTAAACAATAAATAATAAAATTTACTAAAATAAGAATGATGTCTTTAACAAACTTAATATTGAATAATCTCATAAACATCCCAAAACCCGGTATCACAAGTGCATGAGCTATTTCTAGAAAATAATGTAATACAATAACCGTTCGGAATACAATACAGTACTCAGAAGGAGACTCTGATGGCTGCAGGTCATCTCGAGGAGTGTAGCTCACCTATATCTCCGTATCCACCATGTCGTTGTGCCGAACTAGGCCACTAGACATATATGAGCTTGTGCAATAAAAATGCATAACAAGTGTAGCATGAGTACAAAAACAACGTGTACCTAATAAGTATCTCGTCTAATCTCAAAGAAGTAGAGACGAGAGGTCGACTTCGACACTTACTGGTGGTCCAATAATAATATACCAATAATATAGTAAATCGAGGATTTTCATAAAAATGGTTGTAACTCAATAACATGAGACAAATAAACAATTCATTCGTTTATAGGAACTTTCCAAATTCATTTTTATCATTTATACATTTATCTCAGGCCAGGAAAAACAAATATCAACATCTATAAATCTCAAGGCAAGCAATACAAGCATGCTCAAATCATGCCGAGGTCGTACGACCCGATCCATCAATATTTAAATTGTGCACTGCCAGAGGGTCGAATGGCGTGAACTATAGATACTTCTATTACCCAGCTTGCGAATCATACATGCGACGTGGTCAATTATAAATAAACAATCACCCCGCTCGCAAATCATGCATGCGATACAGGTACACATAGAAACACACATTCAAATAGTCAATCAAGAATTCATCAAGGAACATTTATCTGAAGAAAAGCCAATCCTCTTTTAACGATTTAAGAAAATGAAGCTTAACCTTTTTAGAAATTCATTTACTAATTCGAAATGGTTTAAGCAATTTATATTGTCGATAAGGTTATAAATATTTTAAGTAAGCATGCTTTTGGGTCCTAGACTACCCGGACTTAAGCATAATAGTAGCTACGCATGGACTCTCGTCACCTCGTGCGGATGTAGCCCCCACAAATAGAAGCACTTAATTGATTATTTCACCTATGGGGACAAAGGCTTACCTCGCTACGAAGTTCCCTAACTGGCAGTCCACGCCCTTTCGAAGACTTAAATTGATGCACAACACTCCAAAACTAGCCAATAATTATGCAAACCCATTAATATATTCTCAATTAATCATAATAATCCAATTTATAACAATTTCAAACCCTGATCGAAAAGTTGATAAAAATCACCCTCGAGCCACGTGCCCGAATTCCAAAAAATTTCGAAGATAAATTTTACTCATAATCTCACAAACTCAAATATATAATTTATTCTCAACTTCATGCCCAACATCGTGGTCAAAATTCAAGAATACCAATTTCTAGGTTTTTCCTCAAAATCCCAAATTTCAACTAGTTTTCATACTTTAATCCACAATACAACCATGTATTTAACTTACAAGAGGCGGGATTAACTTACCTCATGATTGATGATGAAATCACTTTCTTCAAAGGCTCCAAAATCGCCCAACCAAAGAGAAAATGTGTGGAAAATGAGCCAAAACTCGTTTTTAAACAACACACTGCTCAACCCGACCTCTCGCACCTACGGTCCTCCTGCCGCTTCTGCTGCTCCACACCTGCGGAAATTTCCATCGCAGGTACGGTCTTAGCTAACTCGACTGAGTCTGCTTCTATGGAGCTCGAACCGCTCCTACGGTCTCGCTTCTGCGGGAGCTACGTCTCACCTGCGGCCCTAGCCTAACCTAGTCCATTTCCGCTTCTGCGACACCAAGGCCGCTTCTGCGGCTCCGCACCTGCGGCCCAAGCCTCGCAGGTGCGGTTACACCAGAAGGCAGCTGCTTCATTCCTTCTTCAATTCCAAATTTGATCCGTTAGTCATTCGGAATCCACCCAGAGCCTCGGGACCCTGACCAATCATACCAACCAATCCCAAACCATAATGCGGACCTGCTCGAGGCCTCAAATCACATCAAACAACACTAAAATCATGAATCACACTCCATTTCAAACATGAAGAACTTTAGAACTTCAAACTTCTTCATTCGATGTCAAAACCTACAAATCGCATCCGATTGATCTCAAATTTTGCATACAAGTCATATTTGACATTACAGACCTACTCCAACTTCCATAATTGGAATTCGACCCTGATATCAAAAAGGTTCACTTTCGGTCAAACTTCTTGTATACATGTAATTTTTGACTCTCCCCAAAATTTTATACATTTTAGTGCTTCGATGTTGGTTTTAGGCCTAATATCGCCATTTTCATTATTTTAAAACTTTTTGCTTTATTTTATCTTAAAAATGAAAACTACAAAAAATATTTTCAATTATTTTAGCTAATTGGTTTTTACTATCAACTTTTAATTTTTCTTAATTTTCATAAAATTGAAATATACAAAAATAGTCTTGGCATTTTATTTAACAAAAAAAAAAGAAGAAGAAGAGATAGTAAGAAAGTTTCAAAAAAAATATATAATATTTACTTAGTTTAATGTGATTTTTAAGTTGTAAGGTTTTAGTATATATTGAGTATTATTTATATTTCATTAATATAGTAACTATATGTCTCCTCTTAATATTTTATATTATCTCAAATATAATAGTATCTTTATAAAGCTATTTTTAATTTATTTTTAGATCAAAAGATTAAAAAATCAAAAACAAAGAAAAAACCGGAAAGAAAATGACATGAAAGGCAAAGTGAAAGGAAACAAAAGAAGTTGGTAGTGATCCCATTTTTTCATTCTCACCCATATTACCTACCTCTATTTTATTCTTAAGATTCCTTTTCTTTCTTTTACCAAGTAAGTTTAAGTACTCAAAAAAGATTCCTCACAATGCACACACTCACAATCTGCATACACACAATTAATCTAGCCTCGCGTACATAAAAATCAAGAGAGAGAAAGTGGAGGACATCATTGAGTGAAAGAGAGGATTTTTAGGAGAAAAGTTTGAGTGGGGACAACACTTTGAGAGGAAGGGAGGATTTTTGGGAAAAAAAGAGAGTGAGTGGAAGACAATAGAAAAGTTAACCATTATTTGGGGCACAATAAAGAGGGGGAAAATCGGGAAGGAGAGGGGATTTTTTCGGACATAAATCGGAAGAAAAAAAAGCTAGGGTTGTTTTGAAGAAAAGAGAGTTTCTTCTCGGTTTCATTTCGGAAAGTCTTCTTTCTCCAATAGTCTGTTCTTTGTGATTCACAAAATGCACACATAAAGAAGAGAGTATAAGGCTTCTTTGTTAGGTTAATTTGTGTCCTAATTTTATCAAAAAAAAAAACAAAACAAAAACCAAAAAAATATATATTTTTGTTCCTCCTCCTATTTTTAGTTTTGGATTTTTAATTGCGGAGGCCGGCTGATTCGAAAACGTTGTTCGTGGGTAGTCGTTCGAGGTTCGAGGCGGAGTGTCCTGTTGCCATTTCAGTTCCGTATGAGTTCGTCGCCGGACTATCTTGTAATCGCACTTTTCACCAAATTAATTGTTAAACATTGTCAGGTCCATCTCACTACTCTCCTCTATGATCCATCTATTTTCTGTGAAATTAAAATATAATGGAGCCGTTTAAGAATGGTTGTTGTGCTTGACTCCATATAAATTAGAAAGCTAAATTTGGGGATCAAATCCGTAAAATTTGGTTAGCTTTTGGGCTAGTGAGTTTGGGCTATTTTGATGTAATCTCTGTGGTTTTGATTTTTTTTTTGTTTGATTGATTTTGTGTCTAAATATTTTATTGTGTAGTTCTTCATCTATCCGGATTCCATAATACTTTTTCCTATAGTTTCTTCAATTTTATCTACGTATTTATATCACCCTTTAGCATATGTTAGTTTACAAATTTTCACATAGCAAGTAGTTATATCACTACTCCTTTATAATCATGCCTACAATTTGCTGAACTGTGTAGTATTGTATGCGGAGCGAATGTCAAAACATGGTTTGGTTAAACAGCTCATCAAAACTCTCCTCCTTAGTTTATGATTTCTTTTTATTTCTTTTTTAATAGTTCATAAAAGTAAAATAATCACTTTGATGTTTTGATTAGGTCCATGTCGACCTCTGTCGAGTCATTTTCTTTGGATAGTGTTGGGAGTATTTGATTTTGTTTAGGTGGGTTGTGCAAGTCCTTGTCAAGGCAGTGCATCGTAAAATTGTTTTAAGTCTTAAACGGCTCTTATTATATTTTACTTCACTTTCTTTTACTTCATCCATTATAATTCAATGTTTGGTATTATCATTATCATTATAGTTATAGTTATTATTTCGTTTTGTTCCTTTCTGTGCTGGATTCCATATGTGTGCTTGAAAGCTATAGTTGTCTATTTTAATTTGCTTGAGAGTAGGTCATGGGGAGTTGGAAAAGGCCAAAGCTCATTAATAATTAATTGTTACCATGCTTTAGGAGTTGGCCCATAGCCAAATACAAAAAATGAAAGTTAGAAGAATAGGAGCATGAATTGAATTACTCATTTATTTTATTTATTTTATTTTTATTACACCGTCCGCTAGGAGCATGCTTAGGCCGACCGCATTTGGGTAGGCAAGCCTTAGGATTTTTGTTGGTTTCGAGGCGAGAGGTTGTTCCCTTAGTTAAATTTATCTGGTGAATGCCCCGAAGGATTTATATATATATATTATTCTGGGGTATGCCCCGAAGTATTTGTATTTGAACATCGATAATAGAATTCGTAGTATTTTTGTTTTATTTTCCTTTTATTAGGTGGGACAACCTCGAGCCTTTTTTTGATTGTTTATTTTCTTTTGTGTGCTTTTACCTCAATTCGAATATCCTTAAAAGCCAACTAGATCGAGTATGCAACCGTACTAGTTACGGGACTTGGGGAATGCCTAACACCTTTTCTCCGAGTCAAATAAACCCCCTTAACCGAATCTCTGGTGCGGACTTGGTTGTAGATTCTAAAATGTTTTAAAAGGGAAAATTTATTTTTTTCTTTAAAACGGTGACCTGGCACATCGAAATCAAAGTCAGGTGGCGACTCTAAGTTATTTCCTTTTGAACACAATTTTATCACTTTTCAATTGAAAACCCTTTTCGAGCTTTACAAAATCTTTTTATTTATTTAAGAGAATTAGTGAAGTTTGGTTAAAAAAAAAGGGTGTGACAGCTCTGGCGACTCCGCTGGGGAACAATTGCAGTTTCGAGCTGATACTACGATCTTGTTGGCGTTTTAGAATATTTTTTTGAGGTTTTTATGCTTTTTCATTAGTTTTACTTGATTTTTATTATGTTATATATTTTGTTATTATTTGCTAGTTGTTTATGTGTTTACAGTTTTATTTTTATGTATTTACTGCTTTATAACTGTCATCATATGTATTACCTGATCAATTTTTTTTGCAACAAGTCCCGGAGTACGTGTCGTGTACACGAACTCTTTGTTGAGTCACCCTTATTTTAGGAGGGGGAGCCGTCGGACGTATGGAGTGGATGGAAAGCTTGAGCAGCCACCATCGACCATACGCTCCTTCGAATTGCCTTGTTAGTGAATCTCAAACGTAGGTCAGCATTTAAATCATGCTTATTTGCATCATGTCATTTACCTAGCAGGGCTCGGTCCCAAGCACCGTGTCCCTTTATAGGAGGCCTATCCAAATTATGGCAAAACTGGCCCATGGCCCAAAAGGACATTCAATCATCCCTATGTGATACATGTGGCATCTTTGAGGGTAGAAAGGTCATTTGGCGGACTGATATTTGGAAAAGAGGGAAAGGTATAAAATGAAGCAAGTAGGACACAACTTTTTTTTTCTTATACAACTTTTTTTTAAGAAAAAAAAAAGCCAAGAATACGAAGAAAAAAAAGAGAAAATCCAAAAAGAATTTACATTTTTCATTATTTTTTAAAAAAGATAAAAATATAGTTTTTCCTAATTAGTTGCATTTGTTTTAAAAGCTTTCTCCCATGTCTCATCTTCCCGAACTATGCATACCTGATTCTCGTCTTTCGGAACGCGATACGTAGGCAACCCACACAGGGTCCGGTCTTCCTAGTGAGTCTTAGGTTCTAAGCTTTGCGGGGTCTTAGCCAAATCTTGCATGTGTAGCCAATTTGGGCAAACCGGCCATTCTTGCAAAATGGGATCATTTTCGTAAAGTGATTCAACTACCCATGTCTTAGGATTTTGAGTCCACAACTAGGTGTCATATTACTTTAAGGTCCGTCCTTTTTGAGTTTGCATTTGGCCATATCGGCCATTTTTGCAAAATGGGTTATTTCTGCAAATTGATTTTGGGCCAAGATTATTGGGAGTTGAATCCATATAAGCCTTAGTGAGATATTTCCATGTCTTTGAGGTCACCTTTATTGTGTTTGCACTTCTAGACACTCTTGGCCACGTAGGTTAATTTTCAAAAATAGCCTTAATCATGCCTTGCATGTGTCCAGTAGAAGGTGTCGTGGCGTCACATGTGTCTTGAGTCACTAACTCTATTTGATCTTATTTTTTCTATTCAGGTATGGAGCAATTTGCTAGAGTTTGAGCATGACAAATACCCTAGGACCATTCTAGTCAAGACCATTGCATGCACGAGCTGCTTGAGGAAACTTTTTATTTTTTAGTCTATCTTATGTTGTCTTTTAATTTTTAGTCTTGTACAGTAGTATCGAGTCTATCAGTCTAGTTAAGATTGTCGAATTTTTTGTTATAGTACTTCCTGTTTTGTATTTGAAAAACCAAAAAAATTATAAATGAAAAATTCAAAAAGATTTTTATTTTTAGTTTATTTGTCCATTACTTTTTCTGGAACTATGCTTGGTCTAATTCATGTGGAACATGAATACATATGCAACCTACATCGGGTTCGATCGAATCATTTTTAAAGTTAAAGAAAAAAAGACGGATTTGTGGGGTACGAGGAAAGAGTGATTAAGCAAAAGAAAAGGGTGGAGAAAATTGAAATAAGCAAATTGGGATGATGCCATATGACCACATGACCCTCAAAGCCATTTTAGAACCGTTAATTGTTGCTAGGTGCATTGCACACAATGTGATATTATTATCTAATAAATGCCCTAACACTAACATGTTGGCTTTGTTTTGCTCCTTTTGGCTTTGTTTCACTATCAACGCCAGGAAGGTGGTTAGTTTGTTGGCACCCTGACAAGTCATCCATAAAACACTAGGTCAAAGAGCAAGACAATCATGACTAGCAAAGAATTGGATACAGGTGTTGTTGATCCATCAAGAGAGATTGTGGAATCAGAATCTAAGTTGAATGAAGAGGTTCAAAGGTTGAAACAGCAGATGTCAGATATGTATCAAGCTTGGATCAGTAGGCATCCTCCGCCCTCATTTCCCACTAACTACACTGAAAACCCTGTTGCCATCCTACCATTATCACAAGGCCAGATTCCACTACTGATTTTTCCCCACAATATGCTCCAGGCTTTACCCCTTATCACAACTACCCTGGCACCTCTTCCCAACCTTTCCCTGCTCTACCAGCCAAAACAACCTCATATCCCACTCCAAAATCCACTCCTGTTCTTGTAGCCCCTCCATAAGTTGCTATCCATCGATTTTCTAGTGAACCCACATTCAAAATCCCTGATGCCCAATCCTATGCTCCTGAACCAACTTTTGAGGTCTCGGACCCTTATAGCTATACCCATCACTTTAAGCCTCCTGTTGAAATTGAGAAGCCCACTAAGAATGTGGAGAAAGATGACATATTCAGGAAGGTGAAGAGTTTAGAGCAATCTTTAAGGAATATGCAAGGGATAGGAAACCAAGTAAGTGTGTCTTACAAGGACTTGTGCTTGTTCCCTGATGTCCAACTGCCCGCTGGGTTCAAGATGCCAAAATTTGATTTGTATGATGAACATGGAGATCCCGTGGCCCATTTGAGAAGCTATCGCAGTAAGATGAGAGGTGCTGGTAGGAAGGACAAGCTTTTAATGGCCTATTTCAGTTAGAGTTTGAATGGGGCAGCGCTTGAATGATATACACGTCAAGTTGCTAGCAGGTGGTATACATGGGACGATATGGCTCAGGCCTTTACTCGACATTTTCAGTATAATATCAATATTGTCCGGAATCGCCTATCTTTGACGAAGATAGAAAACAAGTCTAATGAAAGCTTTAGGGAATATGGACTCAGATGGAGAAAACAAGCTGCCCGATTCAATCCTCCGATTGAAGAAGACGAAATGGTCAAGTACTTTCTTCAGGCATAAGAGCGTACTTACTTTGGCCACTTGATATCAGCCATGGGCAAACCTTTTAATGATATGGTAAAGATAGGAGAGATGGTGGAAGAAGGACTAAAGTCAAGCAAGATTATGAGCTATTCCGCCATAAAAGCAACTACACAGGCAATCCAGAATGGCACAGGAAGTTTGTCGGGGAAGAAGAAAAAGGATGATGTCGCTATGGTTGAATTTGAACCATGGCGTGGACCAAGGGTTTCACCTCACCAGTACACTCAGCCTCGATCCGAACCTCGAGCCTACACTCAAGCTCCATATAATCTACCCCAACATTATTTCCCACTACAAGAACCTCAATACTTAGTCAGATCACACCAATATCATGTCCACTATGCGCAGTCATATGCTCAACCCCCTCTTTATCCGCAATGGCGTGCTCCAACTCCACAAAATCCTTGTCCACCCTCACAACCATACCGAAACCCTACTGGTCCAAGCTTTTAGCCAAAGCCATATTATAGAAGAGAAAGGCAGCAACAGAAACAAACTTGCACCCCGCTTGGAGAGTCCTATACCAGTTTGTTTCAAAGGTTGAGGCAGTTGGATGTCTTGAGGCCGATTGAGTCAAAGATACCAAATCCCCCTCCAAACAACCTTGATTATTCACTTAGATGTGCATACTGTTCTGATTTCCCAGGGCACGACACAGAGAAGTGTTGGCATTTAAAGAGAGCAGTCCAAGAGCTTATTGATACAAATCAAATTGTAGTCCAGAGCCCAGAAGCGCCAAATATCAACCAAAATCCTTTGCTAGCCCATGCAGAGACACATTATCAAAATAGTTCGTAAAGATGGAGAACCCAAGAATTCTTCTAAGTCTGTCATGATGATTCGTGCTAGTGAAAGTAATCCAGTTAAGGCTCGTGACAGTTGAAGGGGTGACGGAGAAGATAAGCACGCTCAACGTGAAGCCACCTGCGTTGGTAGTGAAAGGGCTTCCAAATGATGCGGGAGCAAGTCAAGAAAAGCTTAAGGTGGTCATGCCAAGGATCCAAAAAAAGCCTATCATAGTCGTAGAAGGGGCTCATATTACCCCTGTTGTTATTAAACCAGTGACCTAGTTTCCAATGGTTGATACAAAGGCTGTCCCATGGAATTACAAACGGGTGATAGTGACATATAAAGGGAAAGAAGTAGGGGAAGAAGTCAATGAAACTGAAGGACTGACTCATTCTGGGAGGTGTTTTACCATGGAAGAATTAAGGAAGGCCAACTGTTCGAGGATAGTCAAATGCCAGTGAAGAAGCTGGTCACCGAAGAAAAGGTTGAAGAGTTCCTGAAAAAGATGAAAGTGAAGACTATTCCATTGTGGAGCAATTAAGGAAAACATCGACTCAGATATCTCTTTTGTCTTTACTGATACATTCAGATGACCACTTCAAAGCCCTAATGAAGATTTTGAATGAGGCACCTGTTCCTGATAAGATCACAGTGAATCACTTGGAAAAGATTGCTAACAAGATCTTCGAAGCAAATAGGATCACCTTCTCAGATGATGAGCTTCCTATGGAAGGTACTGAACACAATCGAGCTCTTTATCTCACGGTGAAGTGTGAGGAGTCAGTTGTCTCGAGGGTACTTGTTGATAACGGTTCTAGTAAAAATATTTGTCCTTTGTCTACTTTACAAAAGTTAAAAATTGGTACTGAAAGAATTTGCATGAACAGTGTATGTGTTCGAGGCTTTGATGGGGGAGGAAAAGATTCTATCGGTGATATAATGATCGAATTGTCGATAGGGCCAGTCAAGTTCACCATGGAGTTTCAAGTGTTTGATGTGGTTGTCTCCTACAATTTGTTGTTAGGCAGACCTTGGATACACACGGCTAAAGCAGTCCTGTCTTCTCTGCATTAAATGGTAAAGTTTGAATGGGATGGGCAAGAAATAGTAGTGCACAGTGACAAGGACATATCTACTTATAATGACCTGTCTATTCCCTTTATTGAAGCTGAAGATGATAAAGGACCTTGGGCCTACCAAACTTTCAAAACAATGTCTATTGAGAAGATTTTTCAGGTCCGGGGCTATCCTCATCATCCGTCATGGTTGCAAATGAAATGTTGAAGACTGGTTTTATGTCGGGTAAAGGTTTGGGTTCATCTCTACAGGGTATTGTGCATCCAATGTGCCCACGTGAAAATTTTGGCACATTTGGTTTGGGATTCACACCTAAGGAGAAAATGGCTAAAATACAGAAACAGAAGTTATGGTCGCTACCCAAAACCTATTCCATAGATCTCCAAGTCTTTTGTCAAGCCAGGGGCCGCAAAATGTCCAATATCATCAGTTCTGAAACCTATAGTCGATGTTGATGAAGAGATGATCAAGAGGTTCCAGAGTCTGTTCGATGAGGTTAATATGGTAGAAATTGGGGAAAGTTCTTGTAATGCAGATGTGCTGCTCATTGGGCCAAATGTGAAGCTTAGCAATTGGGAAACTGTTCATCTCCCCACTCAGAAGGAGTTTTGGTAGTTTGATTTGTTTTCCTTTATGTTATTTGGGTTATTCCAGGGTTGTAATCCAAATTTTTATTTTTCGCTTGTTTTGATGTTCAAACCCTTCTATCCTTTTATTTTCAATGAAAAACAACTTTCTGCTCTCCGTTATTCCTAATAGGGTATCATTTTGTTTTGTACAATTCTTTTTTTGCTGGTTCTAATGATATGACATGCATGAGAAATTTTCAGCCAAGTCTTAAAAGCCAATCTAATTCTAAAATAATAATCCAAGAAGTGGAGTATGATGATGAAATAGAATATGATGAATAAGCAACATTTTAGGAAATCAGTAGAGAGCTAAAACAATTCGAAGAAAAACCATTGCCTAATTTGAATGAAACTGAAGCAAACAATTTAGGAGACCATGATAATGTTATGGAAACCAAGATAAGCGTGCATCTATAACCACAAGTTAAGGAAGAAATAATCAAAGCATCGTTTGAGTACAAAGATGTCTTTGCATGGTCGTATGACGATATACCAGGTTTGAGCACTGATTTGGTAGTTCATAAATTGCCAACTGATCCAGCATTCCCTCCTATCAAGCAAAAGTTAAGAAAGTTCAAGATTGACATGAGTGTGAAGATCAAAGAAGAAATCACAAAACAGCTTGATGCAAAGGTCATTCGGGTCACTCGATATCCCACTTGGTTAGCTAATATTGTGCCAGTATCAAAGAAGGATGGTAAGACTAGGGTGTGTGTCGATTACCATGATCTTAACAAAGCGAGCCCAAATGATGATTTTCCATTGCTGAACTTTCACATTCTGATCGATAATTGTGTCAAGCATGAGATTGGGTCTTTTGTGGATTGCTATGCGGGATATCACCAGATCTTGATGGATGTGGAAGATGCAAAAAAGACAGCGTTCATCACGCCATAGGGAACCTACTACTACCGGGTAATGCCATTTGGTTTGAAGAATGCTGGGAAAACATACATGAGGACGATGACTATCATATTTCATGATATGATACATAAGAAGATTAAGGTTTATGTAGATGATGTG